TGCGGTGATGTTAAAGCTGGAACAAATTTCATTAACTAGAAGTCAGAGGCAAAAATACAAGTAATGAGCTATTTTCTATTAAGAAAACAAATATATTGGATGTGAGCTCTTGAATGTAAGTAGGGATACAAGAGGCAAGCTAAAAAAATACCCAGAGCAACATGCACACAAGCTTTAACCAGAATGTTTCATGCAGCAAATGTAGCCACCGGGCCTGTTTCTCCTTTGCATGATGCATATTTTCACAGATGCAGCCCTGACTTCCCCAGCCCAGAAGAGATGAGTGCCTGGGAAGTGCCAGAGTGGGCACCCACTGGGAGAGAGAGAGACTCCATGGCAGCACATGTGAAAAGCTGGGGGAGCAGGAATGATGCTGAAGGCCATCCAGCTCTCAGAGCAAATAATTCCTTTCTTCAGTTCCTTCCCATCAGTGTGGTAAAGGGCACTTGGCAATAGGTTTCGGACCCAAGCTGGTAGCTTTTCCTGACAGTTTTCCAAAGCTGAGTTAAATACTATTGACCCAGGCTCCCATCTCCAGCTCAGCTCACCAGTTAACCAGAGGAGCTGGGGATTTGAAAGCTTTCTTGAGGGTAAAGCCTGCACCAGTACAATTTGACTGCTGTTGAGTTAGTCTACATTAAGAACATTTAAATTTTGCCCAAAGTCTGTAATAAGAATTCAAATATAACTGTTGGGGTTTCTTAAATATATCTTTAAAAACCTGGAGCCATCCAAACTATGCAGGGCAGCACATCTTCTGTGATTATTTTTATTCATAATCCAGACTCTACATCAGCTGTCCTCATGGTTTGGTAGTGTGAAGTACTGGAAGCCTAGTAATACATGCATATAAAACTTCCTTTTTGGTTCTTATCGGTAGAAGGACAGATTCTTTTTCTCTTTAAGTCACTAAAAAGTCCCTGTGCAGGCTAATTCACTTTTCACAGACAAATGTGAAATGTGAAGACATGATATCTGATCAACGGATGGGAGGCTGTGTTTGAAGGAGGTATGCTAAACAGCACTGTGTCCTCGGGCCTTTTAGTAGGAGAGAGTGCTGGCAACAACTTGGAGAAAGGATTCTGTTACTGCTGTAGTATCTTGGGCTCCAGACTGCAATGGTTAGAATGTGCTCTGCTCAGATGGCTATGGGAGCAGCCCCTCCACCATGGCAACCAACATATGGCTTTGCATTGTTGCTAATAATCACACAACAGAGAAAAAAAGTACAAAGGAGGATGTCCTTGTATACACAGACAATCAAAGTCTAGGACTGTGTTCTCCAAGGCTGTAAGCAGAAGTTATAAATTGCTATAATGCATATTTCACTTCTCAACTAATCGAAAAAACAGTGTATACAGGTTTTGCAGATAGCTCATTTATTTTGCTGAACTACCTAGAGCTCAAGGATGCTGTTTAGTATGAGCTGGCTACAAGCACAAAAAAAGACCAGGGGAAACTGGCTCCCGATGTAATTATTTTTGTCAGGTACGCATGAGTATCTTTTCTGGCAAGGCCACAGCATCCCCTTCCTGAGTTAATGGATCTTTTGCCACAAATGCAGAAGAAATACAAAACATACTTGCACACAAACTGCCAGGAAGGTCACAGAATTTTACAGGGTGAGCAGTGCAGCCCTGAGGCTTCTCTTTGGCTTCCAGACACATCACTTTTAGCAATTTAAAAAGACCAATGCACTTGACAGCAGTTGACCCCATCCTCAGCACTGACCACTGAGCTGGAGATGGCAGAAAGGACAGGCTGTGCACAGGTAAAGCCCACAGAGGGCTTTTCAGACATGCCTCAACTGAAGGCATCCTGTGTCCTCTCAACCTGGCTCAGCATCACAGGACAGACACCAGGAGAACCCCAGTGTGCAGCTCTGTCTGAACTTAGCCCCACTCACCCTATGTTTTCTGGGAAGCAAGAAACCCTTCAAAACTAAAGACATCGTGCTCCAACCTCTCCTTTACATACCCAAACACACCTGCTCTGCTGCCCCTGCAGCAGTTGGCAAGTTGTGCCCATGCCAGCCCACTGCAACGGGGTCCAGCACAGACAGACTGAACAGACTGCACCAAGAGGGACCAGAGTCACCGTCCCTGGGGCACACAACAGATTGGTACAGGGAGTATTGTTGTCTCTGTTTCACATAGAGTGGGCTGGGAAAGAGAAACATGTAGGGTGTTCTGTCTTTGATTAAAGACTGGCAATTGTACACAGAAATAGCTGCTGGTATCAAAATTCTAGGAAGCACTGCTTACATTGTGCCAAACGACTAAAGACAGTTTTAAAGGAGTCACACCAGAAGTGTAACAGATTTTTCTCTGTTGCTTTCTGTTCTTACTTAGGAGGCTTCTGTTATCCAGCTAGAGATGACAGACCTGGCAGAGGTCACACTGTGGGCCATGGGCTGCAAAGGGCAAGTAGCCCAGTGACCTGCACACAAACAATCTTGACTTGAAGATTCTTTATCCACTTTTCCCTCATAATGACCAACAGACCTGAAAAATAGTAGGATTGATTCATTAACCAAACAAGGGCTAAAGCAAGAATGATAATTCTTGTAAATACGATTGCAGTAAGAATTACTTAATGCAATAAAGATTTAGTATACAAGTATTAATTTTAATTTTGGATAGCTTCTCTGAATTGCATCTCCAAATGCTTTTGATAGTTGCTCGTCTTTGCCACTAAAATGCAATGAATTCCTTGTTTGGGTGTCATGCATACAATAAGAAAAAATACTGAATTACTTTATTTGCAAATGCATCCAGTAATTCAGGTTTTTATAAACCTAAAAACTTCTTTCTATTATGCATAAAGAAAATACATGTATTGAAAGCTGGCACTGATGCCCCTTACTACTGCAGCAGGGACAGCAATCCAAGAGAGAGGTCATCTGTTGTGCTGGCTGAGGTTAGTTCCCACAGGTGTATGTTTAAACAAACATTTGATATTGTCCAGGAAATAGGTTTTGTATCTTTATTTCTATATAAGCTAGTTCTCTCCAGCACAGCTGTGGGAATACAACAGGTGCTCATTATGTCTCTCCTCCTCGGTCAGTCTCCAACTAGTGTTTGGCTGAGAGGACAGCTCCTTTGAGAAAAAAACCAAAACAACTGGTTTATTGATCAGTGAGGTCTCATGAGAGTCACTACAGGATGGAATGATGAGGGGAGTATAGAGAAGGTGATGGGAGGATGATGAGAGAGCTGTGATGCTTCAAAGAGCAAAGCCTGTGCCCAGCATAGAGCTACCAGTAGGCTTTGATGTGCTTGCTGAACACATATGGCACCTGCGAGGGATTGGAAACAGAGGAACAGTATCTCAGCATCCCCCCTGCAGGAGCAAAACCCTCCCGGCCAGACCGGCAGAGAGCGCTGGCTCAGTACCTGCTCCCTGCAGCCTCCTGCAGCCCCTGCCCCGGGCAGCAGCAACCAGTGGGTGAGACAGGGATTTCACCACCGTGGAGCTACAGGTGCGTGTTTGGCTGACAGAGGACAGACACTTGTCTTTATCAACAGGAGAGTGTTTCTCCACACACAGTTCTCCATCGTGTCCTCTGAAGATCCACTCCCAAAAATGACCTACAAATAATTCTTCCAAAAATAAACCTCAGAAGTGAGAGAACTGTCAGCCACTAAATCCCATTAATTCACTGCATCTAAACCCAAGCACTGTGTTCCCGTGAACTTCCCTACCACTGTTCCTTCCTCTCAGACAGGCTCGGTGGCTACAAACACTGCGTGGACGATGGGCAGTTGTGTGCAAGTGATGCCCCGGGAGGCAGGACACAGCCCAGCAGCAGATGCCGGCTCAGCTCAACACGCTGCTTCTCCCTGCAGACCCTGTGGCTGGACAAGGGTGCTCATTGACTCCACCACTGCTGTTCCGTGCTACGAAGAGCAGTTTTCAGAAAGCCTCCTCGCTCGTCTCCCTCCCAGCTGCTCTCCCCACAGAGGTCCCGGGAGGCTGGGAACCGCTGCTCCCGGCTGCACCGAGCCCTGTCCGGCTGCACCG